CATAAATTACCCGATATGTTTGATAGCATGATGCATAATAATTTATACGTTTTTTCAATTATGCAGAGCMAAAACAACTTTATGCTTATATMTATTTAAACACCTAAATATAGATTTAAAAAAATTAGAGTAAATATAATACGACAAAAATGAGCACTGACTTATTGGTACACTAGAAAAAAAAATATATATATTTCAGCCAAAATTTTGTACAATATCATGCTGTCACAGTCAATACACACGTTTAAGATTAATCAAAACCTTCAATTTTGAAGACTTCCATTCAATTTTATAACACTGAGAGTTCTGTTTATGTTTACCATACACTTATATTATATTAAAAAAACATCAACTTCACAACACATTATAGAAAATTAACAGACATTAATTATGTATATCCAACAAACGAATATATTCTTTTTTCTAATTACATAACTTATAAATTAAATTATGTAGGGAGTACATCACTATGAGGAGAAAAAAAATATGACGATATATATATATATATATATATATATGTATAATATATGTTAAAATGTAAATGTGTATGTAACACTAGATATAGAGGAACTAGTTTATGGTATAATATTATTATAACATTAAATATAATTGCGTATTATGTACGCATATTAGACAATGCATAATTTATATTATTTTATAATATGTGATGTGTGTAATTATATAATATTGACTATATAAGTATAATTGTACAACATTAAGTACTAAACACAATATACTATCCTAACATTATAAGAGGAAATCTAACTATTCTAGACTTATACATAAATAGTTTAAACGGAGTACCTCAATGATTTTAAGAATTTTTCTTGATTGGCCAGGAGACAAGAGCTGGAATAAAGATATTTCACTCATATTATCTCAAAGATTCCAAACGAGTGGCCAATCAAAAGAGTCTGATGATACTTATTTAGAGGAACACCTTGTACAAAAAGACAGTATGCTACTAACACTATGATAACCAATTCATGTACATAGCTTTAACGAGTATTAATATTGAATAACTACGATAATATTTAGAATTAAAACATACGCTATGAAGAGGAATGTCTGAAGGGATCCAATGTAGATCGATTTTCAATAGTACAGTTTGAAAAATAGAATAGATGGAGTATTGTTGAGTTCAATTCATGTGAGGTCTGTTTGCAGCTTATGATTCACGTTCCTACAAAAAAAAACAACAATTACATACTTATGGTACGTCTGTTATATTACTGTAAGTAAACAGTAACTCGGCCACTCAGGTGAGTATTGTTTATATTTAAGTAATTAGGTTTACGAGCATAACTCGAGGGCATTGGAATTGTATATTGATAAATTTCTGATTAAAATTCCAAAGAACTAATCAGCAAGAACAATGCCATTTATGTATAGGTACAGAAATATTTTACTTCAATTTTAATAGTTTATATTATACATTCATATAATGACTATAAAATAAATATGTAATATATTATGATTACAGTATTACACACATTTACCATACAGAGACAAGTTACAGAACCACTAGGATAACAAGTAAATAAATAATATTTTTAGTACTAAATATTTAAACATAAATAATATGCAACAATATAAAAACATATTAAATCAAGTAAAACAAAAAATAATAGCCGTGTTTAGAAGGCAATTCAAATGACCAACACCTCATAGATGTGTTTCTTTAAATGAAACTTGAACAATTAAGCTATCAAAGTCATTGATAAAATTCTTCTTGAGRTAAGCAAGTATTGATATTATGATGCTTCTATATAATATATTTTACTAAAAATTTTAATTTTTAATTTTTTTCCAATGCCCTTTCTCACAAAAGGTTATAATGTTATAAATTTAGATTTAAGGTTTAAGTATATTTATAGTTAAAAATGTACAGTATAGCGGTGGTATCAAATTGTTAAATATTGGCACCACCATGTATACAGTTAAATTGTCTAATTAGAAAACACAARGAATTCAAATCAATAAATAAAATTTTGGACATATTAACCGCTGTGATTTGTTGGTAATATATCATAAAATAGTTGTTAAACTTAAGTGCTATTTAAAAATATAAATTTTAACCCATATAAAAAATTAATGTTCAACTATCCCTATAATGTTTTGTTGAAAGATTTTTTCATTATTTGATTAACAGAAATAATTACAAAGTATTAAATAAAATAATGAAAATTACCTACACCATTAGGCTTAGCTTGTGGTGGTGTAGGGAGTAATAGTACACAAAATTAATTTTTCGATTACATATTATGTAATATAATTAATCTGAAACGTACATTTTATGATATTAAATCATAGATAACTATGATAAAATTATGTATACTATTTATATTATAATAAGATCTTACATAAATCAATTAATCTATTCTTTTTCAAAAATATTGATTATTTTTAATATACCAAATAAATAGCCCTTATGGAATTATATCACATATTATGCTGCAAATAATACAATGTTAATCACACTTTACTAATTATTTTGTTTGATTATATAACCAAAAATATAAATTGCTGTTATTTAATAATTAAATATAATATAATTATAAAAATAAGGAAGATAAAATAATATTATTTATATTGTTTTTAAACCTACCGAGATTAATATATCAGAATACTTGTTCTGATTATATTAAAAGCGATGATAATACAATTTTTAAATACATATAGCAATTATACTTAATGTATTTAAATATAATATGTTAGGTTGATACCCTATGAMTAAAAACTAAAAGAGAATCTTTTTGCCGAGCAAGCAAGTACCAAATAATTAATTTATTGTTTTTTGGAAAATATAATTTATTTTAGACTCAGTTTTCAAATTTTTTAATAATGGTTTCGACAAAAAAATTTAAACAGTTTCAAAATTATGGTTGAAATATATATCTT